AAGTTTTTGTGGTTTTCAAACCAAACCTTGTTGTTAATGTGATTATTTTTTAATCCTCATTGCAAAAACTGTCCATCTTACCAAGTTTTAAAATCAAATATCCAGCCAAAAAGTCTTTTTGATCTTGTTTTGAGACTGAYTTACTAAACAAGAACTGATTGTGTCAGAATAATAATCTTGTTTACAGAATGTGTAAGATTATTTGTCTTGTTAGTCTGAAAAATTGACTCAAATTAAGTGAAATGTTTCTGCCAATGGAGTAAGAAAATTTTACTTGGTAAGATTCTTGAAATAAGAAAAAATTGAGTCAAGTATTTCAAGAATCTTGGCAAGTAAAATTTTCTTACTCTATTGGCAGAAAATTTTGACTTGGAGTCAAAATTTTAGACTAACAAGACAAATAATCTTACACATTCTGAAAACAAGATGATTATTCTTACACAATCAGTTTTTGTTTAGTAAATCAGTCTTAAAAGAAGATCAAAAAGACTTTTTGGCTGGATATTTGATTTTAAAACTTGATAAGATGGACAGTTTTTGCTGTGTAATAGTAGTTTATACAGTAGATCTGGTGTCTCGTTGTATTGTTGTGGTTTATCACAGCATCTGTGTTGGTTCCATCTGCTCATCCTGTCCAGGATCAATTCAGTCGTTAGAATGCGTTCTGCCTCTAATATAACAGCTGAGCGCATTGATTGCATTTGTAGCAGCTCTGTAGTTTCACCCTGTCAGTAATATCAATCAGGTTTTCAGCTGGAAAGATAAAAATCAAAAGAAGCAAGAAGTTAAACACAGATATCTCTCTTCTGGGCCTTTTTATGTTTCTGCAGCTTCTGGACTGTCGACACCACCCTCCACCCCGACCCAGGCATCCAGCCAACCTGTGCTGGGCCCCAGCCCCGACCGCCTGGAGCCCCGCGCTCGAGCTTGCTCCCTCTCCACCCCGCCGGACACAGGACAGCGTCTCAGCTTCGCTTCTGCTAAACCCCCCATCCCTTCAACAAGCCCTGTGCCTCCCTTCTCTACCTCACAAGTGAGTCGCACAAATTAAGAAATTAAGATACACATACTGCTTTACTTGCATGTCACTTCTTATGGCAGGAAGTAAGTAACACAGCTGCAAAATAACACACTGACTTCCCATTTCTGAGACACATTAAAAGAAGCATACGTTGGTGCTTGAAAGAGCTCAACATGAAGAGACTTCACTTCTTCAGCTCTGGGTTGAGAAAGTTTTCTGGAGCTTCTGTTACCCTTTTTTCCCCCTTGAGAACCAAAACTGCTCCGTGAAAGAAATCTATTCAAACCTGGGGGGGAGTTCCATCATGACTTCTTTAGGACTTCACTAAATAGTGGCACCTTGTTTTTTGTTTCTTTGGTTTGCTTCTATTTTTTTTTTTCCATGAAGCAGAATGAATCAAATGACACCACAGAGACAAGTAATGTGTGTGTATTTGTACACTTTTTTAGTATCTCCAACACTTTTAGCTGCGCAGATCATGGGATCTTAATAACAAAAACGTTATTTTTTTTTTTTTCCTTTTTGGATACACAACAGCACCCTTTTCTATGACTCATGTCTCTATTTACTCAGAGTCATAAGATTGTATTTAAACAGCAAATGAACTAAGCCACCGACACAAACACGGAGAGCTGTCACTTGACCGCTCTTCAGTAAAACTGTGTTTGCTTTGTTCGCTCTGAGCACCTTGTAGCAAACCGGAGCGTGTAAATTCTGCCTTGACATTTGGGCCTTACCTCAGACAGAATTGGATATCAGCTGCAATGGGATTCTGGCGGTGCGAGCCAGGATTTGATAGCAGATTACCTTCAGCGAGAGTGGAATTGCTGCACGACTCTCTGTGCCGTTAGAAGAAATAATTATCTGAAGACCTGTCTCAATCTGTCTGCCTGGAGTGGTGGTAGATTTGAGGCTGAGATGGTGAATCAATATTTCATCACCAGGGCTGATATTAACACTTGGGGACTTAGTGGTCCATCTGTGCCTCTCCATCACACACAAAGGCCTCAGAAAATAATCTAAAGAGTTTTAAATGCAATTAACCGAATGGATTTGTGTGTGCCTCCTGGAGGTTTGTTGTAAAGCAGAAGCAGGCCAGATGTCCGCTGTAAGTGCAGCGGGGCCAGATTTATGAAAGTGCAGAGGTAGGTTTTGGCGAGAGAAGTGCTGTGTCATCATTGCAGGGTGACACTGGGGGACTGTAGAGCATCCTGAAGCAGGCATGCAGTCTTTCTCACAAAGTGCTTGAAGGTCACAGAACCAAAAACTGCACATTTTGTTAAAATTGGCGAAATGCTGCATAGTTAACGCTGAAAAATGGGAGATGAAGTTACACAGTTTGGCTGACACACTTCCAGCTAGGGTCTCCAATTTTCAGAAACTGAAATAAAGTATAGTRACGGGATAAGACAGAGAGAGGTGGGACTTTTTTGTCCCATTAATATTTAGCTGTTTCTATTATAAGCGAGATCAACAAAGGAACTTAATATCCACCAGATAAACATGTATGGGCCAGTGTTAGAAGTGTTAATAAAATGAGGCAAGGCAGCTTTATTTATATGGCACATTTCTGCATCAAGGCAACTCAAAATGGTTTACGCARACAAAACTTTTTGATAAAATACAGGACAGTAAAAACCTTTTATAGAAAAACAAAAATGTAAAGAATGGCTACAGTAAAGATCTTACCATTTTTGTTGTTATAAACTTTAGTCATTTCATAAAACAAAAYTCTATGTACAATAAAAAATAAAATACAAATAAAATGAAATGAAAGGTGGCAGAGAGAAGAAAAAATCTTAGAATATCTGCCCCTTTTTTCTCAAATATAGATTCAAACTATAAGGATCTACAGTTAACAAAACAAAACACAACAAAACATTGAAACTTTCTAGAACAACAAAGTGAATGTCTTCATATTAAACCATTTCATATTTTTTAACAGTCCAGTCTTTATCATTCTCTTAAATATGCATATGGATGTGGCACTTTTAACATTATCTTCTAAATTATTCCACAGTCTCACTCATTGTATTGAGCTGCATCGTTCTTTCAAACATGTTCTAAATTTAGGTTTCATAAACATCTCTATTCCCTTAAGATTATAACAGCTTTCTCTCTTTGTAAAATTTTTGCTACTTTTAGCTAGCATTTTTTATTTTACATAGCTTTTTGCTACTTTTTTACTTTCATGTATCATTTAGCTGCTTTGGCTTCTACCATTTTGCTTAATTTATTTAGCTGTTGTCTTGATACTTTTTGCTAGCTTTTTGCTACATTTAGCTCTTTTATTTATTTGCTTTTAGTGAGCCCTTTGCTACTTTTGTCTTCTTAGTTTGTATTTAGCTTTTTTTTTTATCTTATTTTATCAACTAGAATTTTGCTCCATTTACCTTTAACAACTAATTTTCAACTTCTGCAAATTTCAGCTGTCACTCTTCACTCAGCATTCATGCTGCATTTACACAGAAGATAATTTTCTCTTGTTTGAAATTTTCTGTCACTTTAAATAAAAAGTATTTGGGTTACAAAAAGAAGCCTCCAAAGGATAATTATGTTCAACACCTTTCCCTGCAGAGAAAAACATGAATAAACAGCTCTGATTAGACAAGATCCCTGCCTATGTCACCTGTTTCATTTATAATCTGCAAAAAGCTGTGCAGTAAGTATTAATTATCAATTTCATAGGGAAAGCTTCTTTTTAGTTTCCAATTCAAGACCATTTCTATTTTTAAGCGACAGTAGTCAACCCTACRTCCAGCCTCCAAAGCTGAGGCATCAGGAAGCTTGCTTGTGACTGATTTTGTTTGAAGTAATGAACACTAAAGATGTTACATATCGGGTAAGAGAACTGTCAGAATCATTGTATGTGTAAGAGTCTAAATTTGTACATGTAAGTCTATAAACGTACATAAATTTGTTACAACATTGCCACATTACAAGTACGAATCAAATTTACAAGTACAATTCTTATGTGAGAATACAAGTTTTTAAGTTTCAAATACAAGTTAAAAATTTACAACTTTGCCACATTACAAGTACGAATCAAATTTACAAATACGTATCAAATTTACAAGTTCAATTATTTTACCTGTCAAAATAAGACATTATGCATAGAACACCGAAAAGATCGGTTGCAAACAGTAACTAAGCCAGACCACTACGGGGACATGACCACTGCCTCATTTGGGACCAGATGAACTCTTTATAAACACAACAATTTTCTGAAGGGAAAAGCATTTGGAGGCTTTTCAGTTTGTCATTCATGTCATGTTGTACAACAATAAAGTAGATAGTGGATTTATGATGAACAACCAAAAAAGAAAACTGATGCATTCATAAAACTGACTGCATAATGGAAAAAATAATGCAAGTTCAACAACACAAAACGGCCGTGCTCTGACCCGGCCAGCAGGGGGACTGAAGTCCACCATCAAACCCGTAAACAACTGTAAGTTAAACTCTTTTTACTTTTAATAGTAGTTTGTATTATTTATTTCACATTTGGTACACATAGTACTTGTCAGTATTTTTAAGAGGATGTGTTTAAACAGTTTCTATGCTGAAAGTAGAGCTTCGTTGATTGCTGTCGTTGTTAGCATGTTGTTAGCGTTAGCATGATGATATGAATAGGAAAGAAAAAACAGCCTCATGCTTCCTGTTCAGTCTAAGTTTATTTAGAACGGCTTGAAAAGAACAAAAACCTAAATGGTGTTAACAGTGTGTTTAAAAAGCTTTCTCTGACTATATTTTGTTTTGTTTATTAAGACCTTGTTGGCTAAATTTTAAAGCTTTGTCAGAACTACACGTACATTGATTTTAATTAGAATCACCATAAATCAAAGTTAAACTGTGTTTAACTAAGTTAATCTATTTTCAACTACTACCAAACTACTTCCTTCAGATTTCAGTGACCAATATGTGTAGAAAAAGGTTTGCTGTCTGATTAATAGACTGCTGGCTGTGACTGTGTGATATAACTGTGATCTTTTTAATTTACTTTTATTCAACATGGACCTGAATCTGTTTGTGGACCCACTGAGGACCTGTCTCCAGACCTTTGTATCAGAGCAGGTCTGATACCATCAGGCTCCACCAGTGAGACTACAACCAGTGGAAGCCAGTTCCACCCCACGTCAGGTCAAATAGCTGTATTAGCAGTAATATTATAAACTTAATAGAAATAAAGTTAATATAATTCATTAAATAAAGTTAAAATAAATCAGTCCTGTTAACCTGTTGATCTTCTGTGGTTCAGATAAGTGCAGTTGATACAGCGAGCAGCATTCAGCCCATCCATGGACCCAGGACAGATGTCCTCTACATCCACACCTACAACTGACAGGTGGATGAGGAGGTGATGGAGTTCCTGACCATCTGAAGAACTGAACCAGCAGCAGGATGAGACACTGGAACAAAATCTGTTCATCTGGGTTTTAAAGCCTTCATGACAGCTGAAAAATTCAGTTAATACAAATGTACAGTTTTAAAATGTCCTGTTTAGAGCTGAGGAAGTCAAACACCAGGCATTGACATATTTTTTAAACTCAGGATGTTTAATCTGTTTATATTAAAACTTACCTAGAAGTTTTCATTTATTTGACATTGATAGATGGTTTTACTTTAACAAATAAAATTTTTAGACAACACTTTTGTTTTTACCTAACTATGAGCTGGGAGTGATAGATGAAACAATTAATATAGTAAAAAAAAAGGGGGGGGCAGTAAATTGTTAAAATGTTTAATGAAACATATCGCAAATAACACGTTTTAACACATAATATAGTGTTTTACTTTAATAAATAAAATTTTTAAATAGTCAACACTTTTGTTTTTACCTAACTATGAGCTGTGAGTGATAGATGAAACAATTAATATAGTAAAAAAGGGGGGGAGGGCAGTAAATTGTTAAAATGTTTAATGAAACATATCGCAAATAACACGTTTTAACACATAATATAGAGTACTACTATTAATACTACTACATTGTGACATATTTTTTTGTCAAATTTTTTTATATTATTTTTAACAAACCACAAACAAAAAACAAACTAACAAAAA